GACAACTTCCGTCGGCTGCTTGGGCCCACAGACAGGTATCTGCTCTCTTGCCTTTGCTGTTGCTGTGGTCAGAGTTGTAGCTGGAGATCCCAGGACAAAGCAGCTTTTCTTTTTCCCTGTCAAAGTCTGTTTGAGGTGAAAAGAACTCACTCACAACTTGAGACTCTCCTTTTTCTAGTGAGACGTGGAGAAGAATAAGAGAGTTTTGTCTTCGATGGTGGAGCCAGTAGATCAAAGAAAAAAAAGGAAAAAAAAAAGAAAAGGAAAGAAAAGACGGGAAGAGGAAAAGGAAGGGAAAAGGGAAAAAAAGGGAAAAGGGAAAAAAAGGGAAAAGGGAAAAGGGAAAAGGGAAAAGGGAAAAGGGAAAGGAGGGGAAAGGAAGGGGAAAGGAAGGGGAAAGGAAAGGGAAAGGAAAGGGAAAGGAAAGGGAAAGGAGGGGAGGAGAGGAAAGGGAGAGGAGAGTGGACATGAGGGGAGAGGATGGGAGAAGAGGGGAAAGAAGGGAAGAGGAGAGGGAAAGGAGCTGGGAAAGGGGGGGAGGGAAGGAGGGGAAAGGGAAATGGAAATGAAAAAGGGAATCAAAAAGGGAAATTTGAGAGGAGAGGAGGGGAGGGGACAAGCAGGGGGAATGGGTGAGGGGAGTGGGTGGGGAGAGGAAGGTAAGAAGGGAAGGGAGAAGGGAAGGAAAAAGTGAGGAAGGGAAGGGAAGAGGAAAGAGAGGAGAGAAGGGAAGTGGAGAGGGAAAGGGCATGAAAAAGGGAATGAAAAAGGGAAATTTAAAAGGAGAGAAGAAGAAGAGAGGGAAGGGAGATTGGGGGGAGGGGAAAGGGCAGAAGGAGAAAGGGGGGGAAGAAGGAAAGGGAGAAGGGAAGGAAAAGGAAGGGAAGTGGGGAGGGGAAGGGAAGGGAAGAGAAGGGAAGAGGGGAATAGAAGAGAAGGGAAGGGAAGAAGAGAAGGGGAGAGGAGAAGGGAAGAGGAAAGAGAGGAGAGGAGAGAAGAGGAGAGGAGAGAAGACGAAGAGGGAGAGAGAAAGGAGAGGAGAGAAGAGGAAGAGGAAAGAAGAGGAAGAGGAGAGAAGAAGAGGAGAGAAGAGGAAGAAGAGAGAAGAAGAGGAGAGGAAGAGAAAAAGGAGAGGAGAGAAGAGGAAGAGGAAAGGAGAGGAAGAGGAGAGGAGAGAAGAGGAAGAGGAGAGAAGAGGAGAGGAAGAGGAGAGGAGAAAAGGAAGAGAAGAGGAAGAGGAAAGGAGAAAAGGAAGAGAAGAGGAGGAGGAGAGGAGGAAGACGAAGAGGAGAGAAGAGGAAAAGGAGAGAAGAGAAGAGGAAGAGGAGAGGAGAGAAGAGGAAGAGAAGAGGAAGAGGAGAGAAGAGGAAGAGGAAGAGGAAGAGGAAGAGGAAGAGGAAGAGGAAGAGGAAGAGGAGAGAAGAGGAGAGGAGAGAAGAGGAGAGAAGAGGAGAGAAGAGGAAGAGAAGAGAAAAGATGAGCTTAAAAATGTATTATTTATTTAAATAAATTAAATGCCAGAATCCTGGCTAAGATGTGAAAAGAGTTTCTTTTACCAAGTCTTCATTTTAATAGCTGCTATCTCTTCTCCACACCAGTTACAGAATCATGGAATCACCGAATGTTGGGGATTGGAAGGAACCTTGTATGATAATCTAGTCCAATCCCCCTACCTTAGCAGGAACACCTAGATCAGGTCATACAGGATCGCATCCACACAGGTTTTGAATGTCTCCAGAGGAGGAGTCCCCCCAGCCTCTCTGGGCAGCCTGTTCCAGCGTTCTGTCGCCCCCACCATAAAAAAGTTTTTTTCTCATATTTTTATGGAACCTCCTGTGTTCCAGCTTGCATCCATTGCTCTTTGTCCTATCACTGCATGTCACTGAGAAGAGCCTGGCTCCGTCCTCCTGACACATATCCTTTACATATTTATAAATGTTAATGAGGTCACCTCTCAGTCTCATCCAAGCTGAAGAGACCCAGCTCCCTCAGCATTTCCTCATAAGGGAGATGCTCCAGTCCCTTCATCATCTTTGTGGTTCTGCACTGGACTCTCTCAAGCAGTTCCCTGTCCTTCTTGTGAACAGAGGGGCCCAGAACTGGACACAATACTCCAGTTGCAGCCTTCTTGGCCACAAGGGCACAGTGCTGGCTCATGGTCAGCCCACTGTTCACCAGGACCCCCAGGTCCCTTTCCCCTACACTGCTCTCCAACAGGTCAGTCCCCAACCTATACTGGTACCTGGGGTGCTGTTCTTACCCAGATACAAGCCTCTGCACTTGCCCTTGTTATATTTCATTACGTTTCTCCCCGCCCAACTCACCAGCCTGTCTAGGTCTCGCTGGGTGGCAGCACAGCCTTCAGGCATGTCAGCCACTCCTCACAGTTTTGTGTCATCAGCAAACTTGCTAATGGTACACTCTTCTCTTCTCTTATACTGAATAGTACTGATCTCAGTACCAACCCTTGAGGGACTCCGCTGGCTACAGGCCTCCAACTAGACTCACTCTGTTCCACTGACCAAAACTCTCTGGCTTCTTTCCTTTAGCTGGTTCACAGTCCACCTCACTACTCAATCGTCCAGACCACACTTCCTTAGTTTAGCTGCAAGGATGCTGTGGAAGATGGTGTCAAATGCTCTACTGAAATCAAGATAGCCCACATCCACTGCTTTACCATCTTCCATCCACCTAATAACTTGACAGGAATTTAGTAGCAATCAGCTCTGCACCCCCACAATTTGATGAAGAAATTTTAAAGAGAAAAGTGGGTCTTCACAGCAGGAAAGCAAGGAAATACTGCTCATAGCAGGCATCTCTTCTGAGCTGGAGCTCACTCTGTGAGATTCCTTCAAATGGGAAAAAAAGAGTTCTGGAGACCTTTAAAGAGCAGACTGAAAATACATCTAGTTCTAAGTTGTAGTGATAAAGCTTGTGCTGTTAAAGATGACCAAAATACTGCAAATCAAATCTCAGTGAGGAAGAACATTACCTTTCAATATCTTTCAAAGCAGATATTAAAGGTTTTCAAGAAATCTTACTGCAAGAGAAAGGAAACATCTCAAAGACTCAACCTATCTCTGAATGGATTAGAGCAAAAGACAAAATACATAATATTTCTTAAAACTGAAGTTGTAAGTGGGAAAATGAAGGTTGAGTGGCTTGAAAATAATGGAAAGAAAGTCTTGATTTAAGAAAGGTTAAAAGCCTTAGGGAAGCATACAAAAAGGTTTACATTTCTAGGCTGGTCCAACTCAATCTCTCAAGCACAAAGCATTGTAAAGAACTTCAAGTTCAACCATAATAAAGTTTATGCAGAACTAATAATCTCCTGTAGAAATTAGCTCTATACAGAGTAAAGTACTGTCACAGAGTTAACTAGATCAATCTATGCCCGTGACAGGGGGGCAGTAGGCCCCTGGCCCCCCCCTGTGGCCCCATAAACTAGGAAGGGAAAGGGAAAAGGGATAGGGAGATGGGAGCTGGGCACAAGGAAGGAAGAAAAACAGTGGCAATGATTTATGGAGGAAAACTTATTTTACTAACTATGATATTGGAATTAGATAAGATGTTGGAGAAGATAACATAATACAATCTGATTGAAATTGAGACTAATAAATAAAATCAGATAGGAGAGAGAGAGAGAGTTCCTGAGACCGAGTCAAACCCCAAAAGCTTGGAAAGCACCCTCCAGCACCCACTGCAAGACCCGGAAGGGCCAGATCCCATGACTTCCATAATGTATAGGGGATTAGGTACCTGGAATTGGAGCATTAACACTGTAACTCCCAGTGCACTACATGATGTTATGATGTGGAATACTGAAAACCAAAAAACATAAAACCATGACATCCTAGTAGTCCTGTCATGGGGCTAGTAGCTGTTTTGGTGGACAAAGGGTTACGTGACAGAAATACATGAACATTAATACTGATTTTTGAATGTCTTGGTATTTGAAATCCAAATGTCAGAGTTTAGAGAAAGCATTTTTCTATTGACGTAGGCATTGACTGGACATCCGCAAGCCAAACATCTCCCTTCATAAAATAAACATGTTATAGCAGTCAGTTCAGACAAATGTAAAGAGAATGGTGCTGGTTTGAATGGTTGCTATTGAGGGTTTCTGTGTTTTTTAAGAGGTAGTTTTTATGGGTATTTGGTTAACTTTAT